TGGGTAGGCACCGGTCGCACGCGCGCGCGGGAGAGTTGCCTACCGCCCAGGCGCTCCCCGCCCCGTGGAGGGCCCGCCCCACTCTCCAGGAGCGCCCGGCTGGGTAGGCACCGGTCGCACGCGCGCGCGGGAGAGTTGCCTACCGCCCAGGGGTTCCCCGCCCCGTGGAGGGCCTGCCCTACTCTCCCGGAGCGCCCGGCTGGATAGGCACCAGTCGCACGCGCGTGCAGGCGAGTTGCCTACCGCCCAGGCGCTCTCTGCTCGCTCAGGCCACTCCAGCCGTTTTTTCACTCTCCCCATTCTCTCTTACCTTTCTTCCCCGTCTTTTTCCGTCCGCCGCCCCCCTGCTCGGGCCCGAGCTCGAGAGGGTGATATGGGGGCTGGTTCGGCTCAAGGATATTCCTTCCCCGTGTCCGGCCGTGGAACTCGACGTTCTGATTACGGGGTTTGGTTCCAGTGAAGCACCAGGGGGATACTGTTACGCGCTCATGTCGCCACCCGTCGGGCCCGTCCGGGCCTGGCGCCCCCATGATGACCCCCTTCTCCGTCTTCCCCCGGGCGTCGCATCGCCCTGCCACGCCCGGCCACGCCCCGCCACGCCACGCCGGGTCGGGCCACGTCCGACCACAACACTGCCCTTATACCCTACGGAACGGGAAGCCCGCGCTCTCGCCTTGACATACTTAACGGCGTCGACGGCACCCGCTGGAAGGAAGGCAAGCGCTACCCCAACCCTCCTCACAACCCCATTCACGCGCCCCTCCTTGCGTCGCCTCGCCTCGCCCCGCCTCGCCCCGCCTCTGCCGCCGCCGCCTCACGCGACCTTGCCGAGTGCCCGACCCCCCCGGCCAGGCGGCCAAATCGAGGCGGCTGGTCGTACATCCCTCCAGCAGCGCGGGCCCGGGCAGCCTCGGTACAGCCGCCCTCGACGACATGCCGGACTCAACGCCGAGCGGCGGGCCGCGGCAGCCGGGCCGGGCAGCAGCCCCCTGGTTATAACGACGAGTACGCGGCGGGGCCACGAAGGTCGTCCCGCGCGTTACCGTGGGGTGGGGGCGGCGGGGGCGGGGGCGCTCGCCCCCCCAAGGCCCGCCCCGCCCGTCTCCCCCCGCACTGCTTTCAAATCACCCTCAGCACGTAATGGCGTCTGCTCCCTGCGTCGCTCGCGCCCGTTGGCTTGTCGCCCCACTCGCGGGAACATCACCACGAACATCACGCCGCATCCCTACACTGTTGTCGAGTCGGGGTGCCCGTGGGCCACCGCTCAAAGCGTGACAGCACGCCCCGTACTGAACATATGGAATTTTGTTCCTGAAATTGGACAAATTGTGTAAATATTCACACAATTTGTCCAGTTCTTTAGACGAAACCGCGCCTTATCTGGATGTGCACGAAAACGTTCCCTTTTTAGGAACAAAATTGTCCCTTGTGTTCGATATCTCGTTTTGTCTCTATCGGGTGGCAAGCTAGCTACACACACGGCATCCGGCGGGGAGCCGCGCCGGGACCGGCACCGAGCGCGTTCCATCTCAGCGGGGCTTTCGGGGCGGAGCGGCGCAGTCCTCGCCATCCGGGTAAACACTGCACAAATATATACTGCTTCACGTCCGGCGCGGCGTGTGCGCCCCTGCAGCTGTGCCCCGCCCCGCCCCGCCCCACCCCGCCACGTGCGCGTACAGAACGTCCCGCTGCTGACCTTCGCGGGGCGAAAGTTGGTCACGAGGAGCGGTGGCGCGGCCGTGGCTTTCTGCCCTGGTCAAATCTGGCCCCGCGGGGCGCCGCAAGAGCTGCAGGCGGCTTGCATTATTGATACGGGGGGAGGAGGAGGGG